AAATTTGTTCACTACTACTACTACCACTACCACTAGTATCACACCTCACTCTGAGCCTATATATACCCTCTGTGTCCATGTATTGTTTGTAATGGCTTGATAAAGCTCCTGGAGAGCGAGCGAAACGTTGCCACAATAAAATGTCACATTAGTTGCACTTGTGTCCTTTTACTTTACACTGGTAATGTCCTTGATGGTCGTGGTTGTGGAGGTAGATACTTGGAATGAGGTATTGGAAAAGATGTTGGAAACGTGTTTGGCAATGGAGTTGGTGGGGAGGACTATGTATCTCTTCTCGGCAGTGTCTTCTCTGGGTGTGTTGAAGATGTTTAATGTCCGTTGTCTGCAGTCTTTGATGAAGTGACAAGGGTAGTGGAGTTTTGAAAATACTTGTTCAATTATAGTACATTCTTCCTCAAGAAACTCATTGCTGCAGATTCTGAGTGCGCGCAGGAAAAAGCCTATAATTAAACCACATTTAGTTTTGGTGTCGTGGTGACAGTAGAAGTGGAGAAGATCATTTTGGTTGGTGGGTTTTCGATAGATTTTAAAACGAAGTTCATGGTCAACTTTGCAGAGAAGAACATCAAGGAAAGGAAGAGTGTTGTCGACTTCTTCTTCAAGTGTGAACTGGATTGAAGGCTCGACCTGGTTGAGCTTGTCTTGGAGAGATTGAACTTTGAAGCATCTAGGAGTTATGAGGAGAATGTCATCAACATAACAGAGCCAGGTGACAGACGAAGGAATAATGGTGGAGAAACGCTCGGCTTCTAAATGTTCCATGTATAGGTTCACCAGGACCGCACTGAGTGGCGAACTCATGGGTAGTCCAAAAGTCTGCTGAAAGAGGTGATTTTTGAAAGAGAAACATGTAAAGCCAACACATTGTTCAACAAGGTCGATGAAATCGTTGGCTGGAATAGGAAGATCAAGTGAATCGTTAATCTTCCTGTGCAAGAGATCGATGGCTTGTGTAGTAGGTACTTTGGTGAATAAGGAAGTTACGTCAAGGCTGGAAAGTTTCTTGTTCCTGATGTTGATGTTGCGAATGCAACAATGCAAACACCCGAGTGTTTGAGATGTGCTGGACTGATAGTGCCCAAGAGTTTACAGAGGTGTTTAGCGAGAATTCCTGAGAGTTGGTGGGGAGCACTGCCTATTCCCGAGGATATGGGCCTCAGTGGGATACCAGGCTTGTGAGTTTTTGGCAGGCCGTACATTCTGGCAGGTCTGGGGTTGCTGGGTATGGTGTGCAGAAGTTTCTTCCTTTGTTCTGAGCCCCCTCAGAATGCGGCGAGTCCTTTGAAGAAAAGTTTTAGTAAAGTTGTCCACTTGGTTAGTTGTGAGAGGTTTGTAGGTATCTGGGTCATTAAGTAGATTGAGCATTTTGTTCCTGTAATTGTCAGTGTTCATGATAACACCACCTCCTTTATCAGCGGTGGTGACCCTGATGGTCGTGTCTTCTGCTAAACCTTTAAGTGCATTGATGTAACGTCGGGGTATGACTGGGGAGCTGTGTGTTGAGATGGCTGCTGAAATGATGTCTTGAAGATAAACTTTTTGGAATTCTCGCAAAACACCTCACTAAACTCTTGGCCACTATCAGTCCAGCACATCTCCAACACTCGGGTGATCTTCTCAATCGCATTCGCAACATCAACATCAGGAACAAGAAACTTTCCAGCCTTGATGAAATTTCCCTATTCACCAAAGTTTCTACTACACAAGTCATCAATCACTTGCGCAGGAAAACTGATGATTCACTTGATCTTCCTATTTCAGCCAACGATTTCATCGACCTTGTTGAACTATGTGTTGGCTTTATGTGTTTCTCTTTCGAAAATCACCTCTTTCAGCAGACTTTTGGACTACCCATGGGTTTGCCACTCAGTGCGGTTCTGGCGAACCTATATATGGAACATCTAGAAGCAGAGCGTTTCTCCACCATTATTCCTTCGTCTGTCACTTGGCTCCGTTATGTTGACGACATTCTCCTCATAACTCCTAGACACTTCAACGTTCAAGCTCTCCAAGGCAAGCTCAACCAGGTCGAGCCTTCAATCCAGTTCACACTTGAAGAAGAAGTCAACAACACACTTCCTTTCCTTGATGTTCTTCTCTGCAAAGCTGACCATGAACTTCGTTTTAAAGTCTGTCGAGAACCCACCAACCAAAATGATCTTCTCCACTTCTTCTCTCACCACGACACCAAAACTAAACGTGATGTAATTATAGGCTTTTTCCTGCGCACACTCAGAATCTGCAGCAATGAGTTTCTTGAGGAAGAATGCACTATAGTTGAACAAGTATTTTCAAAACTCCACTATCCTTGTCACTGCAGACGACGGGCATTAAACATCTTCAACACACCCAGAGAAGACACTGCCGAGAAGAGATACATAGTCCTCCCCACCAACTCCATTGCCAAACACGTTTCCAACATCTTTTCCAATACCTCATTCCAAGTATCCACAACCACGACCATCAAGAACATTACCAGTGATAGACAGGATAAGCTTCCATCCTCTGAAGGGGTATACATAATCCCTTGTAATGACTGCAGCAAATTATACGTGGGCGAAACATCAAGGGACCTCCAAACACGTATTTCAGAACACCAATACGCAAGCAGGTCTGACGATACAAGGAATGCCTGTGTACAACACCGTAATTCACACAACCATTTAATAAACTACAGAAACTCAAGACTTATCGCCACAGAAGACAACACTCAATACCGAAGAATCCTGGAATCATTGCTTATCTTTATATCCGACAACTTCAACCAGAATAATGGCTTCTATAACATAGCTGAACCACTTGCCAAGAAACTTCTTCATTGCTATCCCACATGAGAGCATAGGAATGGAAGAACACTGCAGAAGGTCTGCTCACAAACTTATCCAATCTCCCTTCCAAGCTACCCAAGATTTTAGACTCTATAACCCCACTCGGTACATCATCAGATGGAGCATTTTCCACCTGACCTCAGCATTCTGAACCTGACTATAAATACTCGCGTACCTTCCACCCCAGGTAGATCTGTTTGTGACTTGAAAAAGCCCACTTTGTGGGCAAAACATTGTCAATAAAGGATCACATTATACTTCATGTGTGTTTATATTTCCATTGTGTCGGTATTTTATTCCATTTCCATTCAGAGGTAAGACCTAGTGTGTATAACCCATTTCTGCTTCAGGATCAAGTTGGCTTCCTCTGTGAACTTTTGAAGTGTCTCCTGGAATAGTGTTGCCTTGTTTAGATCAGTTTTTTTTCTTTTTTAGCATTGGCTGTCTCCCACCGTGATTGGGTGAGCTGAAAAAGAAACATTTTCATCATCATTCACACTATCACTGTCTTGCTAGAGGTGCACAGATACGACAGTTCAGATGTCCCTCCAAATGGACAGTGTCCCCACCCGTCCTTTAGAGTGCAGGCACTGTACTTCCCACCACCAAGACTAAAGTCCGGCTAACCAATTACCCTGAATCCCCTCACCTTGCTCTCACTCCAACAGCTGATCATTTCTTGGACTTCAGCAAGGCTGCTCCTGAATCATAACAGATTTTTTTTATTGCTACTCCTTAATCCATGAAAGGGGTCCCTTAGAGTCTTGTTACTCTACTCAGGAACACATACTGTATGTACGCTTTGCTCAACTTAGCTTCAAAATACATTTCCGGTGTTGTAATGGATTTTTTTCTAATTTATGTTAAGATGAAGATATACTTTTTTTATGAGACATTTTACCAGTATAACCCAAAATCACAAAGGTTCCTTAACATTTCTTAATGTAAGGAACATGCTACTTTGTTCATTAATATGATGTATTGAACTTGTTGCTTTGTTTATAAATGTAATGTAAGGAACATACTGTTTTGAAATTTTATGTATTTATGAAACTCATTTGTGGTACAGATACTGGTATTTGTCATCATTCTTATACTGCCAGTATGTATTTTTTATGTAAACCTTTTAAATATTGTACTCTGAATAATTTATAATGTAAAAAAAAATCTCCATTGGGAAGTGGAACAGAATTCTTCCTCCGTAAGCTATGTGTGTCGTAAGAGGCAACTAAAATGCTGGGAGCAAGGGGCTAGTAACCTCTTCTCCTGGATAAATTTCTAAATTTTAGAAGAGAAACTTTTGTTTTTCTTTTCAGGTCACCCTACCTTGGTGGGATATGGCAAAAAAAAAAAAGAGTACTACAGTGTAACTTTGCAACAGTATGAACTTTTGCAACAACTATATTCTGCAATATGAAAGTGTATATCATGTATGAAAGTGTACATCATGTATGAAAGTGCCTGGTCTCAGACCGGGCCGCGGGGGCGTTGACCCCCGGAACTCTCTCCAGGTCTCCAGGTAATATATATATGAAAGTGTACATCATATATGAAAGTATACATCATATATGAAAGTGTACATCATATATGAAAGTGTACATCATATATATATGAAAGTGTACATCATATATGAAAGTATACATCATATATGAAAGTATACATCATATATGAAAGTGTACATCATATATGAAAGTGTACATTATATATGAAAGTATAAATCATATATGAAAGGGTACATCATATGTGAAAGTGTAAATCATATATGCACGTGTACATCATACATGAAAGTGTACATCATATATGAAAGTGTACATCATATATGAAAGTGTACATCATATATGAAAGTGTACATCATATATGAAAATGTACATATATGAAAATGTACATCATATATGAAAGTGTACATCATATATGAAAGTGTACATCATATATGAAAGTGTACATCATATATGAAAGAGTTTAAAAGACTTTGTGGAATTGCTACACATTGTATAGTCTCATCAGTTTGCTCTAATTTTTGTCTAGGTTTGTTGTATATTTGTCAGAGATTGGGGATATTTTAGGACTATTTCTCTCTGGGTACGATGGTTAGCTTATTGGTAAGAATATACTTCACTGTGTAGTATTTTTTTTTTTCAATTCTCTTAACAGATCAACAGCCCCATGTGGTAGTGATATCTTACAGTACTATGCAGGTCAGGATGCCACTCAGGTCTGGGAAATGGCAAATCATTCTGCACGTGCCAAGGAAATGATGGCCAGTTATTTTGTTGGCAACTACATGGATCCTGAGCTGGAAGTGGTGCAGGTGAGGCCATAATGTGGAATTTCTTTTATTTTTACTGATGTTTATTTTATTACTGACATTTTTCACTGTGCCATCTGTTTATTGCTCTTAATTATGCTCCTAGATGGAAGAGATGTGGCTGGTGTTACAAAATTGTGGATCAAGTGAGATTGCATATACAGTAGGGCCCCGCTTTACGGCGTTTCGCCTTATGGCATTCTGCTAATACAGTGGCTTCAAATTATGACCAAAACTCTCTATACAGCAAGCGGTCTTTCTAATACGGCGAGCGCCACCCGGTTTGTTTGTGTTCTCCGTGAGCACATATCTCTATAATCACTCTTGGGCACATTAAATGCCTTATTTTATGTTAATATAGACATTTTCATTAATCTATCTATGATATTTTCTTCAAAATTATGTAAGAAACGTGTTACATAGCATATAAATGTGCTATGCTTATATGCCGGGCAGAGGGAAAAACATTACATTTTCTCTGGTTCAGCACCAAAGAAAATTTGTATGAATCTGTGTTGGGCCTAGTCACTCCCCAACTCCATTTTGTTGACAATTCTCGGCATGAATTATTCATTACTTCTCCCTTCGTGTATGATGGCATCTAAAGATAGTTGTTAGAAACGATTAAATTCAGTGAACAAGGTATACTGATGATAATAATATGGCTCTGGGCCATAGTGTAGGGAGCCAGTAGGTGTATCCCAAGTGGGCTACACCTACCAGCTACAGCCTACACTGACTTCCTACATGTAATTACTGCTCACCTCTCAACCTACATTAAGACTACACATATTTTAAGGTAAATAATGAGTGTACTGTATGTGTATTTTATCTTTCTGGGCTGCTCTAACCCGTAAGCGGTCCAAACGTATATACGTATACGTTCTCTCCCGTAGTGCCCCAAATCTTTTGAGAAAAAAAATCGTTTTTTTAATAGGAAAAAAGAGCATATGGTACCCAGGCATCCCCATTTATTTTAATATGGCACACAGTGAGTGCACACACTCATTCTCTCATCTCTAGGCGACTCAGGCTTATCGTGGCAATGTTGAATGTATGACAAATATATATGTTTGGGGCACTAGCGGTAAAAACGTATATATACGATTGGACAGTTTACAGGTTAAATATCGTATATTAACCCCAAATCCTGAGGAGTCTCCTGGTGTCGCAAATTTTCAAAAAAAAAAAAAAAAAAAAAATTCTTATGAAATGATAGAGAATCTTTTCCTGATTGTAATGACACCAAAAGAACGAAATTTGATGGAAAACTGATGAAATAATGCTCTCGCGAAGTTAGCGACCTCACCGATATTTACGAATTGGCGATTTCGTCCACTTGAGCCCTATTTTCGGCTAATTCCATTGTTCCAGTCGACCAATCTCATAGCTATTTCTTTAGAAATCCATTTTTTCTATCGAGCGAGTACAAGAAACTGCCCATTTACCAATTTCAACTACTCAATAACGTGGTCAGAAATTTGCAATTTGGCCAATTTCACAAAAATTAAAAAATATGACAATTTCAAATAGGGTCCAGAATGAACAATGCAGACATTCCTGGCTCTAAAATAACATTTTCTTTGTTCATTAGTCACGTCTCCAGGCCCCTGTGATATTACTCTTGCTTTCTATTTTGAATTTTTATTCAAACAAAAAATAGAAGATTTACTGTTATGCAGACTACTGTAATATTGTAATAATTGTATAAATAATGTCAACCCATTCATGACTGCATATTAGAATGGCTACTTGGACATTTATTGGAAAATAACATCATTTGTTTACTTTTGAACACTGGCAAAAATCAAACATTTCTCCTAATTTGAATTCCATTTCAAGGTTCTTTTCATAGTAAAACCAATCAAAACCACCTATTTCTATAATATGTTTTCCATTCTATCAAGTGAGACCAAGAAAACGAGATTACAACTAAAAATACTATACGAAAATAGACCATGAATTCAGCATTTTAATTAAAAAAAAGGTCGGAGTTTTTTTTTTTTCTCATTATGCACTGCGTGCTGCAGGATTTTTTTATACGGTGCACACTGACCACACAGACCCATTCTCTCACATGTGGGCCTACCAGCTTTCTCCTGCTTGATTTGAAGCCGCTAGAATTTATGTGTATATATACGTCAAAAATGGTGGCTCGTAGGACATATATATATACGACCAAAACAGTCAAGGGGTTAAGTATGAGAAGAAAGCCAGGGCTACCTACACCTGGTTCCTACAATACGAACTACTCACCTCTTGCCCTACATTAAGAACAAATATTTTAAGGTACGTAATGAATAGTACTGATATGTATTTTATTTTTTATTGTTTTTTAATGCCTAGTATTATTATATTAATATAAGGTTAGTGTCGTAAACTTGTTGCCTGGCATTTATATGCATTTATAAATGGAAAAAAATGGCCTGCTTTCTAGGCCATAGCCTGGAAACCTAACTGCCCATATATAGTAAATAAAATAAATAAATAATGTTTATTCTTTGTAAAAGGTTACAATTGTGTAATTACAATTTTGATTGCTAAGTACAAAGATAGCCCTATCATGCGCGGGCATTCGGGCAAACTAATCCTAATACATGTAGAAGAAATGGCAATATATTCTAGTTGAAAGTGGACTTAAGAACCAGTGATATGTAATGGTAGCTACTTGTTAATGTTTGTGTGATGGATTGCTCAAGTATGATATTGGTGTGTAGTGAAAGTGTGGTGAGTGGTGTAGTTGAAAGTAAAAATAATAGAGCAAGGTGATGAGAGTAAATAAAAGTCTAGAGAATGATAGATCAAAGGGGAGTAAAGAGGAAGTGAATCTGTTTAAAATTTTGGGAGTGGATGTGTTGGGAGATAGGTCTTTGAAAATTGAGGTGACTTACAAGATACATATGAAAAAAAAAGTACCAGGATTGTCAAAATTTTGTGGACCGAAAGACTCACATTGATGCAACAAAAAAGTTTTTGTGCAATTCGTAAGATGTTATTTACTCTTTGTTTAGTTTTTTTTTTTGTACTTTTTTTCAGGTGTTAGATGCAAGTACCCTTTCATCGCCACTAGTAGACACTGAGCGTGCTCTACCATGTTGGTAGGAGTGTATGCAAGTTGTCTTGCACGTGGTCAGCCAGCAACACCTTGGAACTAGGACATGAGAAATGGATTTCTGCTGAGTTCATGAGAGCTGGGTGTCAGGTATGAGTTTCACAATATCTGGAATTGTACCACCCAAATATTACATTTCGCTTTAATTACAAAATTTATTAATAGAAAACACGACTGTTGCCCTAGGTAGTAGGTTGGTAGACAGCAACCTCCCAGGGAGGTACTACCGTCCTGCCAAGTGAGTGTAAAACGAAAGCCTGTAATTGTTTTACATGATGGTAGATTGCTGGTGTTTTTTTTTTCTGTCTCATAAACCATGCAAGATTTCAGGTTCGTCTTGCTACTTTCTACTTACACTTAGGTCACACTACACATACATGTACAAGCATATATATACTACACACACCTCTCTGGGTTTTCTGCTATTTTCTTTTCTTGTTCTTGTTCTTGTTTATTTCCTCTTATCTCCATGGGGAAGTGGAGCAGAATTCTTCCTCTGTAAGCCATGCATGTTTGTAAGAGGCGACTAAAAATGCCGGGAGCAAGGGGCTAGTAACCTCTTCTCCTGTATATATTACTAAATGTAAAAGGAGAAACTTTCGTTTTTCCTTTTGGGCCACCCCGCCTCAGTGGGATACGGCCAGTGTGTTGAAAGAAGAATGTATAGGAACTTGACGTGTTTCCTTGAGGTGGATGACAAAGTGCTTTGTCTTGGAAACTGCTGAGTCAGTAGCTAGCTTCCGTCGCCACTCACTCAGTCTTGGCTGGTGTCTCGTGCCACCAACACCTATTGACCACATGGTACACGGTATCATATGTTACAAGGTACCATATGGTACATTGTGCTATATGGTATAGGGTACCATGCAGTACGGGAAAACATATGACACAGGGTACCATATGGCACAGGGTAACCATATGGCACAGGGTACCATACGGTACAGGTGCCATACAGTACAGACAACCATGTGGTACAGGTACAAGGATCCCTATGGAAATAAGTCACCCTGACATTTTTGGGTTATCCTAAGATTTTATACATATGCTGCTATGTATAATAATCCATTGTAATAAAGTTGGTAGAAATACTGACAATATGTAAAGTAAAAGGACACAAGTGCAACTAATGTGACATTTATTGTGGCAACGTTTCGCTCGCCAGGAGCTTTATCAAGCCATTACAAGCAATACATGGACACAGGGTATATAAAGGCTCAGAGTGAGGTGCAATACTAGTGAGGTAACATTTCGATGTTCACTAGTGGTAGTAGTAGTAGTAGTAGTAGTAGTGACAAAAGTAATAAAATATGATAGAGCAATTAATCCGTACAAGAGTAAAAGGATGTAAAAGCTATTACTTGGGTAACATAAAAATAGGTTGGACAAATATAGACTGGAAAGAGGCAGCAGATGCAAGTGCCTCGAATCAGCACTGATCGCTGTTTCGAATACAATTAAACAAAACAACGCAGCTTCACCATCTCCGAAGTCTTAGCAAGAATCCTCCTGAAAACAGTAAACCCTGCCATCACATAGTCTCTCCTGTTATACTACACAAAGCACATTACAGAGAGTGAACACTGAAACAGCTGCCTCTTTCCAGTCTATATTTGTCCAACCTATTTTTATGTTACCCAGTAATAGCTTTTATATCCTTTTACTCTTGTACGAATTAATTGCTCTATCATATTGTATTACTTTTGTCACTACTACTACTACTACTACTACTACCACCACTAGTGAACATAGAAATGTTACCTCACTAGTATTGCACCTCACTCTGAGCCTTTATATACCCTCTGTGTCCATGTATTGCTTGTAATGGCTTGATAAAGCTCCTGGAGAGTGAAACGTTGCCACAATAAATGTCACATTAGTTGCACTTGTGTCC